AAGGTAGATAGCTTCTTAATATCCTCCACTCTCATTGGCCATGTATCAGAGCCATACATATAGCAAAATCGAACGAATCACGGCTATATAGATGGAAACTTTCGCTTTAATGGTAATTTCACGACGGCTCCATAAAGGTTTCGTCAACTAGAAGAACGCATTTCTAGCTGTCGTGATGCGGGCTACAATATCATCTTTTGCCTGGCTATCATATGGTACCCAAGGTATTCAAAAGACCGCCTTATAAGATTGAAAAAATTTTTTTAGGCCAAACTTAACCATGAAACGCCACTGCCTCTGATAAAGACTAATACATTCGTCGAATTATACGCTTGCGATTGCGAGCTGCCAATGAAGAAACAATTATCCGTAAGCTCAAAGTCAATAAGACTCCGGGAGATGATCTTTGGGCTGAAATCTTCAAATGTTGTACATCATCCTTCATAAAATACCTTCAACAAATGTACTCTCTGGTGTAGGAAAAAGAAATCTTACAGGATAATTGGAACAAAGCAATTCTACTCCCAATTTTCAAGAAAGATGATAGGACATACTGCAACAATTATCGAGGAATCAGCCTACTAGACGTCTAAGCGAAAATTTTGCTTACCTTAACTCAACAGACTTATGGAAATATAAGATAACAAGATGCGCCTTAAACGGAGCGGGTTGTGCTAATCAGATATTCACGTCAAGAAAAGTGCTGGAATATCGTTTTCAAATATTTGCAACCCACCATCACGTGTTTCATCGACTTTACGGCTGCCTTTGATTCAGTTGATAGAATGACACTTTGGAAGGGAATGATGGAATGGAAAGCGACGGTGTTCCAGGGAAGATCATTCGACTCATAGAGGCATTTTATGAGCGTACATTGGCACAGGTCTATGCATATGGGGACTAATAGAATCCTTTGAAACAATAACTGGTGGTACATTCATCAAGGTATCCTTTCCCCTACAATATTCAACTCTACGATAGACTGGATAATGGACACCTCTTGTCGGCACTCAACAGGTGTACAAATCAGTCCAGATAATCGTATCACAGATCAGAATACGATCAGCATGTTTAAATCCAACGAACTTGGGAATTTTCATTATCATCATCACGATAAACGTTAGAAGCTAGATCATTTTTTTGAAGGTTAAAAGTTAAAACAGTAACAGTATATACTAAAATAAAGAAAAAAATACCACATACTGCCTGCCAATCTTTTTAAATTGCATTCGCATATGAATACGGCTAACACCTTCAGCATTTGCACCAAAACATATTTGACAAAATCGTTTATCACGTCCAATATTAATGATATCACCAACAGATTTAAACGAATAAATTGCATCATCTAATAAAAACAAAAAAAAGAAATTCGATTTTAACTAGTAAACTGATGATTATTATATAATTAGAATTCAAAGTACTTTAACAGTGGCACTACTGGAATGGCTTTATGAACGGATTTACTGGGTGAAGCATCTAAAGTGAAGCATTTTCAAGAGTTGGCTAAATTAATATTACGGTATATTCGGAAGGGTGAGACGCTTCGAAGATGCAAGATCACGCGCGCCCACAAATATTAGCTATCGGCAGCCACTCCCAGATTATAACAAAACAGGAAAGGAACTGGTGCTGGAAGGATATAACCCTGAATATAAAAAGTATAGCAGCTCGAACAGACAATCACAGAAAATTATTCCGCCTATTTCGCGAAGTAACCAGAGGGTCAGTGAAAAAATCCGAGATATGAGTAAAAAGTCCCGTCACGACCATCAAAGACGATGAGGAGTAGATTGTTTGGAAGTCAGACTACTAAAACAGAAAATGACTGGAAGGCATTTAGATTTCAGGTTTGCCGACGAAATTAGATAAAATTTCCAACCCTATTAATTCGAACCTTCTAACTTGAAAATTCATCGATTTAAAAAGAATTGCGAATAATTTATATACATTTTCATTTTTATGTGGTATAAAAAAAGAACTGTTACCTGGTTTGTCTCGATATGCGATAAATAGCATTACAAACGAAATTCACTGAAAAGTGGCAAAACTATAACTACCGCAGAAACTCTAAAACTCGGTCAGTCCAGAAGGGCAATCGGCCGAGTCAATAATCCATCGACGACTGAAAAATGAAGCCGCAGCCACTATTATTTCCTTTATAGCCCAACCGTCCACCACTAAGCACCCTTTTATTGCCATTTTGTCTTCCAAAGGCTTACTTAAATGGCTTATTTAAATGTTTTACGTAGTTCTGAATACTCAGATAGATTGTATATATTCCAAATATACTTTAGCAATATAGAAGGTTAATTTCAACATTTATATTTATTTTTTTCATGAAATTCTATTTAAAATTCTTTTATAAAATTTAAAATTTAAGAAATGAGCTGTGTGGCAAATACATTTTCTTATAATATGAATTTTACGTTGATTTTATGTTTTGCAGTTTCGCCGAAAATTTTATTTATTCGCTAACAACGAAAACACTGCAACACTACAACATAAAAAAGGTTTAAAAATCGAAAGAAGTATGCCCAAAAGAAGTAATGAATGTTAGCGTAATTGTAAAAATTTTGTTATGCTGTAAATTTGATCACAACACCTTGCTCGGCACCAAGATGCATTTGACCAGAACTCAGGTCAACCAACTGCCGAATATAAAATGATTCAACGCCACTGCTGAATGTTACTATTTCACCATTGCTCAGATCAATTTCTTTAAGTTTTTCTATATCGTTAATTTGTATATCTGCTGCTGTTGAATCAAAATTCGCGATAGCAACAAAAATCTAAATTTAAAATATGTAATCACTGTTTTGTGTTTTTAATTAGATTCTTAATATTTCTAAAAAACTTATAAATTAATATTCTTATTAATTTTCTTAGGGCGGAACAAAAATGTGGCAAAAAGAAATAAGTGCGTAAATAATTAATAATAATAAACAACAAATAGTTTTCTAATTTCCATCATTTGAAAAGCGTGAAACCTGAAGAAAAACCTAAAGAACACTCTTAGCACTTACATTTCCAATAGTTTTATTTTCATTTGTGCGATAACGAGTAAATATTAAAGAATTTAGACCATTTCGAACAATATATGAATGACCCTTCGAAAGAGTTTCGTCTCGACGTCGCAAACGAGCCAAACATTGGAACATTTTCAGTTGTGATCTGTGTTCGCCTTTTTGTAACTAAAATACAAATGTGTTTTTTTTTTCTTTCCCTTGCAATACTAATGAATACCGCAAAATCGAAAAAATACCGCAAAGTTGATAGTAGCATAGTTCGGATGTACTGGAATTGCAGGCAAGCCAGATTCGGAAAACCCTGCGTTCTTCGTATTATCCCACTGCATAGCACCCCGTTGAACAGCTACCTGTATGTATTTTGAAAAATGATGGAAATCAAAATGAACAAAACAAAAAATGTTTATTCAAAATATAAACAAATAAAATAAAAACCTCATTTGCAAAATTATCGGGTAAATTCGTCATTCCAATCTCTTCACCGTAATAGAAGTTATTTGTACCAGGCAGCAGCAAATGTATCATAGTAAGTAGCTCAGCCTGATTTCTCGATTTTATTCTCGAAGCTAATCTCGAAATATAAGGATTACCAAACTAAAAAAAGTTATTAATAAGTTGTTGTTAATAATTTTATAGCATAAGTAAATATTATGCTTTAAAATCCTTTCCTATCTGATATATATTAGCAGATTTTTGCATAACTTATATTAGCAGATTTATTAGAGATTTTATTAAACATTATCTGAATCTACAATTTTATCCTTCAAAATTACCTGCATAATAAAATTAGGCTATTTATATACCTATATTTCCAGAAAAGTTACTAAAACAGTTCGTCTGGTTTTGATTCTAAAAAAGATATTGACATATTGTAATTATTTTTATTGCGAAAACTTTCATCTTCATATTTCAAACTAGGTCAGCTTGAAATAATTTCCAGCATTATTACTTTTAACCAAGTAAAGGCAATCTTTAACCACGTAAAAACAATTTTAATATTTTTATAATCTTAAAAAAACTTAAGGGATAATATGCCTATATTTAAAGAATGATATTTATAGGACTAAAATTCCTTAACATATCTACTATTTCCTCGCTACCATTATATTAATTCTCATACTCTCAGAGGTGAGTAGTTTCTTCATTTAAAATTTATAAAGTTTAAAGTTAAACCAAACCAAAGACAGCAGGAACCAGTTTTAGCATTTGGAGTGTAAATGAGTGCATTTGATATGAGAACTATGTTTTACATCAAATGTTATATATAGTTATGTGACATAGGCTTTCTACCTAGATTTTTTTCTAAATGTTGTTACATTGGACTTTTTTTTGTTCATGTATTCTTTTAACCATTCATATATTCACGATTTTCGACCGGATCCACTCATGGAAATGCTTTTATATCAACTAAAAATAAAAATAAAAAGTTTTTCGTCTTAATAGAATCTTACTTCCCACATCGGTGGAACTTTTTTGTTTATAGCATGAAATTGAAGAACATCCGATATTATTTCATTTGAACAATCAACAATCGATGTCGTGCATACATTATTATGCAATTCGATTTTAGTCAATTCGTAGTTAACCATCGAATCCAAACCATTTTCAACCATTTCTATTTTATCATTTTCCTTAGCCGAATCTCGTCGTGCAAAAAGAATTCTAAAAATACAAATATTAAAAAAAAATTTCCAATAGGAAATTTGAAATTATATAATTATAATTAAATTAAAATTGAATTAACCTATGATTATTAAATGATTATAAAAAAACAAACATTTTTTTGCCTCGAAGCTGTTCGCTTTGATTAACGTGAATTTCGATATGATTTCTTATATCTCTCAATATGTCACCAATTCCAGACCAATACTTAAAAATCGCCACTATTAAATTGTACTAGATATTTGCTTATCTTATTCGCTAACAGGAGTTTTGCTTTCAGAAAAAATAATCTCTTCCGAATCACTTTTTTTATCAAAAACGAACCGGCGAAGATCCATTGGATATTCGGTAAAGATATTCAAGACCCTTTAAGTGAAAACCATCCACTCCTTTATCAATCCAATGAGATAATACATCCTAAATATTTATTTCAATGGATTAAACGCTGTTATTAGGAAAATGATGGCTTTTCAAATCTTAATTCTAAATAGATTGAAATTTAATTTCTGAATTACTAAATATTGGTAATTGGTAAATTTTAATGGACGAAATCTGGTTTTTGAAATCCTTATTTACTTAGCAATTTAAATATAACAAGTTAAAACTGTGTTTTGTAAAAATTTTTGACAAAAATGAAAATAAATAATATTAGTCACAAAATAACTTACAAACATATCATTTCTAAATGCAGAATACTGCCAGTTAAGGACAGGCCATTTCGGATTATTCTTATAGTGCATATAATATACAGTTGTATTCTTATACGATGAGAAATATGCATGATCTATATTGGTGGAATTACGCCAGTGATAATAACCGGAAAAATTTCTAAATTCAGTCAAAGAAGCTCTTGAACTTCGCAAAAACCAATCATGCTCATTTGATGTAATTGCAATGGGCAACGTTAAGATAAATTTCATGCCTAAAATTTCAAATTTTAAATTAAAACTGGAACACAAAAAAAATATCGAAGACATAACTTTTAATATATAAAATAAATTTTTGTCTATTAAAAAATAGTTAATATCTTAACTGATTAACTAATTTAGAACTAAAATTATCCATTTATCAAGCATAATATCGATAAAAATCTTTTTATTTTTAAAAAATTCTTAAATTCTATCTACCTTTACTATGAGTTTTTTCGATCAAATCTATACCATCATCATTTAACCCAATCTTTGAGTCGACTGCCTTAAAATCGCGAATAGCATCATCAAACTGATCGGATAGTAAGAAAGGTTCTGGCCAAATGGCTTCAATACCAAGTCGCCGCAAATCTTCAAGACGATCTGAAATTCCTTGCAAATCACCTTGACCATCTCCATCCGAATCTTGAAACGATGGAGTCCAGATCTTAAAAAAAGAAAATTTTTCCATGTCAATCTTCCAAAGAAAATAAAAAAACACTTTGTTATCATTCATTTATTAATTATCGAGAAAATAATAATTAAGGAAAGATAAAATTTCTTTGAAGTTTCTAAATAACTAATTAGAAAAACACATGATGCATATTTTTGAAAAATTAAAAGAAAAAAACTAAAAATTAAAAGATCAAAAGCTTACATTGTAAGTAACCGCATTGTGCCACCAAATTGGTTTTTCTTTTATGCATTTTGGACTCATAACAACAATCAATATAGAAGCAAGGAAGAAAAATATCCACAATAACCAAAAAGCAACAAACAACACAGTCCTGAAAAGAAATTTTTTCATCCTTCGATAAAATAATACGGCCTTTTGTTCTTTTTATAATTTTTTTTAAGAGTTTACAGAATAAATAAACAAATAAATAAATAAGAATTAAAAAAGAACAAAAATTTCAAAAATTTATGAATGCTTACCGCAGAACCCGCCAGAAAGGATCATCTCGAAAACGCTCTAATTCCGCAATCGTCAAACCGAATTTTCCTTCATCACTTTTCGCTTTTTCACTTAAAAGTGGTACTTCTTGCTGCTCCTTTAAGCCATCAACAGTTTCATTTAACTAAATTAAAAAAAATAACAAAATGAAATATAGGCTAAACCATATCAAAAATAAACGTCTAGAAAGTATGTGCAATCTGTAAGTAACCTTTATCTAAAAAACATAAATATTAGAATAACATTCCAAAACATAAAAACACTAAAATGAAATAAAAAAATTTAGTGCACAACTTAAAAGGTGCGACAATAATAAGTAAACTATTGGGACTTCCAAAAAAATTTTCCGGTGCCTAGCTTTATAGATGCGTATTTTTATTGCCATGCCACATTGGCTGACGTATATCTTTTTGTTCCCTGGTTTTCCATTATAAAACTATTAGCTTTAAATTTTTTTTCTGATTTGCCTATCAAAATCGTGCAGAAGCATGGAATATAGTTTCCGATTTTTGCCACTTCATGGGTTTAAACTGAGGTATCGAGCGAAAGATGTAGCTTATGATGTGCAAAAAAGTTTTGGTGGAAATGATCCTACCGAAAGAAAGTGCAAAAATAGTTCGAAAATGAATCTCGAAGAGTCCAATGCTGCGGACAATCCTCTATAAGCTTTATAAGTGAAAGAATTGATAAAAGCTGGAGTTTCAGAAGGAGTTTGCAGGATTTATATTTAGCAGTGTAATGGGAAGGAAGAAAAATGGTAAAAATGGTGAGTATCTTAAGAAATGCTTAATCAGCAGATGAGCTACACTTGGAGGTTTGAAAGCCTCCTGTTCGCTGTTAAAGAACAACATAAAAATGGTCCTTTCCTTTTCTTAAACGGTGGATTCTATGAGGCAACAGCATGAAAAAACCGGCAAAATGGATGGACAAGGATGAACAATTCCAAAATCAGAACTTCACTAGAAGAATATATTCGCTATTTACTTAGGACTAATCTGTAAGCATCGTCTTAAAACTTCGAGAAAGTGATTACAGCAGAGTCGATCATGCAGTAAGGAAATGAGGAATAATTTCCAGAAACTAAGAATACAACAATAAGCGCTGGTCAAAAAAGATCCCACTATTCATCATGGAAACGCAGACTTAGAGCATATATCGCATGGAATACTTTAGAAAAATTTGCTGAATATCGAAGTCTCATCAACCATTCTCAAATCTTTCGCCAAGAGAATTTCATTTCTTCCATTTCACTCCTCTCATAATTTCCTCACATTTTCAAAGAGAGAAAAAGGATTTTGTAACCACAATTAATTTCAGAGACTCAGACGAATGGGATAAATGGCGCTTATTTCAGCTGCGAAAAATACGTTGATTGTAACGGTGCTTAATTTCAACAAAAATATCCGCTTTGAAAACAATTACGGTTTTCAAAATACTCAGAACGACTCAAAAGGCCTAACAACCAAACATCCATACTATAATAAAATGGACTGTCGTCAAATCCTGAGATCTGCTCGAAACTCGTCACTGAAGTTTGAAGCCAAATTTGTTTCCTTTCTATATTCACATAGACAGACATACGCATACAAATCAAATACTTAATTAAATACATATTCGTAATATAGAAATGAGAAGGAAAAACAAATATCTGCGTTGGCGGAAGAAATAGCAAAAAGAAAAGAAGCAGAGACACGATTTCTCGGCACCTCACCGTGGATCCAAAAGGCACCAAAAAACTTTTTATAAAACTTTTTCTAACATTATAATTGCACAAAAACTCGAAAGAATAAAGGTAAAATCGTTTTTCACTAAAAATTTTTTAAAAGCAAATTTAGCTAACCTTATCGAACTTAACTGACGGTGCTGCATTGCCTTTAATCGCGATAAGATAACTTTCGCTCTTTTGTCCTTTTTGTACATCGTATGAACGCCGACCGGGTTCTGTTTCAGAAATCATTGAAGCAATAGCTTTGTACTGAAAATCAGATCAGAAACTTTATCACTAAAACAAATAATACGCCGCCTTAAGGCGGATTTATTGATAAAAATTTTGATTATTACGAGTAGGGAAATTCTGCTAATGATATTATATGCAGAATGAATGCAATAATCACCACTGGCATAATAGCAAAAAACATAAAGAGAATTCACCTATGACTCCTCAGCTACAACCGTCGACTCGTCTACGACCTCCAAGTACCTATGAGGAATCACGACAATTCGCAAATTTTTGATTCCACTTAAATTTGCCCCACCCCTATTATTCCACAAATCGCAAAGAGTGGGTTGTTGACCTATGACCCCAAAAAGATCAGTAAATTCCACCGATTTAGGACAAAAAACTAATGTTTGAAAAACCAAATTAACCAAATAACTGAACCAAATTAACTTTAAAAAAAGTAGTGGAAAGTGGCAAAATCGCAATACCGAACAACACGAATAAAATATAGAACAAGTGAAATGAAACAAGAATCGAAATGAAGAGAAATAGACGAGTAAAGAAAAATTGGAATCGCAACGATTTGTGCGACATTTCGCGATTTTTTTTGCGCGGAATTTCGCGATTTTATTTCTAGATTAATCGATTCTTGATAAATAAATAAATTTCCTTTGTTTTATACAATAATTTTGTGAAATTTTTATGAATATTTTCGCAAAATCATTTAAATCATATTTTCAATTTTACAAAAAGTTTTTGTCAAATGCTTTATCTCGCCCCTCTTAATCTGCTTTTAACGCGTCGTCCGGGAAAAAGCATTTCTAGCTGTCGTTATCTATGTAATTTCGTCTTTCCCTTAGCCATCTGGGATTAGAGTAGATTGGAGATATTTAAAATCTGGCCTCAACCGGCAAAGAATTTATAAAAAGAGGTATTTTATCAGCTACTATATAAGACGAAAAGAAGATTTTAGTTCTATTTATATTGATCGTATATCCGATTCTCGCTGCAGTTATCGATGGTTTGTTAAACATTATTTGCATCTTGCCATAATCGTCAACAAAGATGACTACATCATCGGCATATTCAAGATCTGTGATATGCTCTGATCTAATCTGTATATCTCTTGAATGGCAACAAGTGATATCCATTATCCAGTCTATCGCATATTAAATAATGAATATTGTAAGAGAAACAACGCAGTCTTGGTGGACACCAGTTCTTATTTCGTAAGAGTTTATCATTTCCTCATATATATATTTGTAGTGTTGTACACTGGTAAATACCTTTATGAGTCGAATGATCTTCTCTGAAACATTGTGATATCCCATCATCCTTCAAAGCGTCATTCTATCAATTGAATTGAAGGCAGATGCAAAGTCGATAAAACAAGTGAAGGTGGGTTGCTGATATTTAAAGCGATGTTCCAACACTCTTCTTAACATGAATATCTGGTTAGCACAGCCTCGATCTGAATTCAGCTTGGTTAGGATGTATATTCTATTATCTCGTATAGCCATAAGTCTATTGGGTAGAAGGGAAACAAATATTTTTTCGGAAATATCTAGTAGGCTGATTCCTCGATAATTATCGCAATATGTCACCTTGTCACCTTTTTCCTGCCACCTTTCTTTAAAATTGGGATTAGAATTGCTTTGACCTAGTCATCTGGTACTATTTCCTTCTTCCATACCAGAGAGTAAGTCGTGATATAAAGGACGATAGAGAATATTTGAAGTCGAAGTCAGGCCGAAAACCATCTCCGTGAGTTTTATTGGCCTTAAGCTTCTGTATAGTATAAATTATTTTCTGTTCTGCTGATGGCTCAGAGTTGCAAACATATGGTTCGACGAGCGATTCAGAAATAACAGAATAGTTATGTCACGAATAACAGATGGCGTTTCGTGGTTAAGCTTGATCTCAAAGAACTTCTTCCATCTTGTGAGGCGATCATTAATAGCTTTAACAGATATACCATTACTATCATTACTAGCTGATTGTTCTCCGGTTGCTCCAGTCATAGTTGCTTTGTGAAAATGGCGGTTTTCTATTATCGCCTAATCGAGCCATGGTTTGCGAAGCCATATCGCATCCGATAGTCAGGAACTCCTGATATTCATGCTTTGACAGCCTTTTCAGACTGCTGAACAATTGTTTCCGATGCCCAATTAGTCAATTTCCTTTTAGAATATTCTATTGCGGAAATGGTTGAATTTCGGAAACATCTCATTCCTTTAGTTGGGACCAGTATTCATCCTTTCCAGAAATATTACTGATGTTTATTTCACTGAGATGTTTCAATAATTTGGTTTAAAATATATTTACTGTCCCCGAATTTCCAATCTGATTTAGTTGAAAGATCTTGGGAGATCACGTTTTTTGTAAATTATCAGCTTTAAGAATTCATCTGATCCTTGAAGGTTGCCAGCTTCATCATCCCAATTGGAACGACTACTTAGTACGATGACTGATTAAGACATTCTGGTTGGAGCGTCGGGTCGGGAGTTATCCAGGGAGTTTCACATAACTAAATAAATATAAATATTTTCTACGATGTCGAAATCATTATTATTAAATCATTAATTTATTAATATTAGTAACAAAAGCTTATTCGGCAAAACGAAAAGGGTGTTCTCCATTGGCGCACTAGGCCGGGCATCGTGGCGAGCACTTGTAATCCAAGTGACTGGGAGGAGAGCACTGGCAGATGGAATAAGATAAGAAGAACTGGTAGGCGTGAGATTACGGAGACCGAGCGTCCAGGCCAAGCGTGGCGCCGATAAGGTATCATAGCAGGAATGTCATGGAAGCTGGTCTATGTAAAGAGGGGTGTATGGCTCAGGACCGAAAGGCACCACGCAAATGTCCCCACGTCACTATGGTGGTCGGTTAGTGCTTGCGAGTAGTCAACGGCTGGCAGCCTTCTCGATACCCTTAGAGCTACTAATTCTACTGTGCTACTAATTCAAGTGCTACTATTCACTCACCTGTATTTCTATCGCCAAGAGACCTCCTGGCACATTGCCCAATTGCGACAAGCCAGTAGAGCGAGTTTAACCAATAATGGTGAGGACTCTTAAAAAAAAATTGGCGCAATGGACCCCATATCTACTAATTACCGAGTTTATCGTTGCAGTATTGTGGTCTACGCTCGCATTCCAGTTTCCAGTCTCCTTCCATTATGACCATGCCACTTTTCGATAAAGGTGTTGTTAGTAGTAGTTAGAAGTTCCACATAAAACTTATCCTTACTGCAATCATTTGTGCTTAAGTTGGAGCATATATACTGATATATAAATATCGCAGAACTTTCCTTCGAAGTGAGTATTAGCCATACCGTCGTTTATAAGTTTCTCATTCAATCAGAGCTGACCCATTTTACCGCGAATTATCCGAAGCATCACAATTAGTACCTCTGCTGCAGCCAGGTTTAATAATTGTACGAGACCTGAAATGAGGAAGATGGACCTCAGATAAGCAAGCGACATAATATTCACATGATATTGAGAAAGAATGTGGTAATTGAAACGACGATCGCTCGCTAGTAAAAAATTTTAAATTTTTAATAAATTTAAATTTTAGATTTTTGTTATTACATGCTAGATATTAAGATTCGAGATAATTTATCAGAAAATGGAATTATCTCATTTTTCAGAAAAGCATAAACTTGCATTCATTGAAACTGTGGTTCGATTTTAGGGTCACACGACGATTTGTTGAAATTAGGTGGACGATATGCAGAACTCGTAAAAGCACAACAGTTCACAATAGATGAGCATAAAAGTGAGGAGGGAATCGGTATTCAGTAAGTTAATTGTGTTTTATGTCTGGTAAATTTTCTTAATAAAATCATAGCCATTAACATAAATTTTTCTTACAAGATTAATAAAACATTAGCATTTTTTAAACTAATTTTATGAATGAGTTCACCATATTGCCCAATAATATTAGAATAGGGGGTTAAGAAGAAATAAAAAATCATTTTGCCGGACCATTATATCGGGGAATTTTTTTCTTGGAATTGAAAGTACCTTTCAAAGAAAATTTTCTAATGTTGGCAACTTTAATAAATCTATGAAAAATAATGACTGCAATTAAGTGATACTGAAGAAAAAGAAGAACAAGAAGAAGAAGAAGAACTACACTTAGAAAGCAACGATCCGCTGTTTCGTAGACATTATAGGCGACATTTATCCTCCACAAGGAGTAAGAAATCATCGTTTGGTTCTACTGTGTTCATGCGCGCCAACAGCATTAGCGACGATCAGAATAGGTATTTATTATCTAGCACTATTTTCATATAACCTTTTTGAAAAAAATGAATCAAAAATTGCAATTTTATTTTACTATGATTTTAATTTTGAGAAGCAGTCAACGATTTTCAATAACTGGCACAGAAGCTCTTTTTCCGAAAACTGAAACAGTTACGCTAGCTGATGAAATAACTTTCGAATCCAATAAAAATCCTTCACCAGCTGGTATTATTACAGTGTACAGAAATGCACATGGAACATATAAATACATGGTGAAAATTTGCCAATTTTTGTTTTCTAGAGCATCATTTAAAGATATCATTCTTCTTTTCTCTTTTATCTTCTTTATACATACAAATATCTCCTTTTAATATATCTATAGCACTCGATTTGACGCGTGTGATGATATTTTTCAAGCCAAATGGTATTACCAAATGGTACTAAGATGTTTGGGCTTCCCAATTAATAATTAATGTAGCATCTGAATAACTGATGGTGATACTTTTTGTCATATAGAATTTTAGATCATTTGAAAAGTTCATAAGAATGAAGAAAGTCTTACAAAGATTTCATGTTATTTGGCTTTACTAGGAAATGCTTGGCTTTGATTAAGAAAATAATGAGAATATAATCTTGGATTAATACAATGCAGTATTACCTCAGATTCTCGGCATCTTATGTACTATAGTTTTTGGCCTTCATCTTCCGGCGCTATCAATGGTATTCTCATTTGTTTTCCGTGCATTTAAAGCTGGTCCCAGTGATACTTTGATAGACGATTTATATTATTCATTTGCTATGTATGGAGGCCTTGGTATAGGGATTTTATTGGTTCAGTTTGCTAGTGTTCGTTTTCACTATTCTTTTTATTTCTTAAATTCTTCCATGAAAACTTTTTTTTTGCAATTAATCAATTAATAATTAGCAAAAATTCAAGTGAAAATAAATTAAATCAATTAATTAATTAGCAAATGAAAATTAATTAGCAAATGATTGATTATTCGAATGTAATTTTGCATGATTCAACTGCATTCCTTTGTTGGATTTAGAATGCATTTTTTGGTTTGTTCTCGGAAAATCTCGTATTTGCTTATCGAATACGCGCATTCCGTAACATACTCTATCAAGATGCGACATATTTCGATGATCCAAAATGTGTGCCAGGAAAATTGATAACTCGCCTCGCTTCTGATGCTCCTAATATGAAAGCGGTTATCGTTTAATTATTATTTTTCTTTATCATATAATCAATATAATGATCATTTACCATTCAAGGTTGTGGATTCTCGAATGGTTCAGGTTATAGCTGGAATTACATCATTAGTTGTCAATGTGATCATTGGATTAAATTACTGTTGGCAGGTTGCGCCTTAAAATAATCTTAATCATTATCATCAAAGATAATCATTTTTCTCCTGGCAATAGAAAAAATAATGAAAAATAATTTATGCCAAATTATATAAATTGAAAAATTGTAATTGTAATTTATAATTGTAATTGTAACTGTGAAAATTGTAATTTAATTGTAATTTTGTACTTTTAATTTTTATATGAGCAGTATATTCATATAATGTGTCAAGATTATAATAGGTCACTGTGGTTGGTGCATCATTCAGCATATTTCTTGGTGTTATCCAAATAATACTATCAAGGTGGGTTTATCACCAGAATATAAGAATTGCACTATCAGATGAAGCTGGACGGGTTCGTTTACCAATTTTTTATTTTAGGTGATTTTAAAAAATTTTTTTGGCAATTTTCAAGTGAATTTCAAGCAAAAATCATTATTCTTAATATTAGCATAGTAAATTGATGAGTTTTTTGTTTTAATTTGAGTAAAATATTGTAGACTGCGATTGAAGTGATTGAAAACGTCACAACGATACAATTACTAACAAGAGAGAAAGTATTCTTCGAAAAATACGAGAGCGCATCAAAAAAACAAAGGAGAAGTGAATTTAAAAAGGTCTGGATCGAAGGAATCAATTTTTCTATAACTCAATCGTTCCACTATTTCATGCAAACATTTAATTATGCTGCAGGCATACCTGTTATAGCAAACAATATGAAGCCTCCAGCTGATATTTTCAAGTAAATTCATAGTCTCGTTAATCAGTTTTAGAAATTCGAAAAATATTATTCATAATAAGCAATTAATGAATATAAATACGACAAATTCGTTGCAAAATTTCATAATTCAATGGTTTATTTTGAAGCAACAATAGGATGAAATAATTAATTCAAAGGAAAAAAACTACTCACCAATAAAAGGATCCGCAACTTTTGGACGAAAATGATAACATAGGCTGTAGATGCAAGTCTTATCAGTATTGCATTTTCGTTCTTTTTTTTGCCGATTTGTTAGATTGTTAGATTAGATTAAAACTCTACCTATAATAACGATAACTCTGCCTAAGAACTTATATTGGTAGTACGTAAAATATTTAGAATAAAACAAATCTTGCAGTGCAGCAATGTCAATGATGTTAGGAGCTGTCGGAATAATGACTGCAACAGTTTATTTTCCAGAATTCATAAAGGCACAAAGTTCAATCAAACTACTCTTCAATATGATGGATAGAGTTCCTAAAACTGGCTACGTTAATAATGGCCAAAAATATGTATACTGTTTCATTTCTTAAAATAATCCTGAAAATAGAAATTTCTCGAGGGTTTTCTAGTATTCTTTAAATCTTTTTTCATTAATATAGGATTTTTTAGAATGAATGTTTTAGAATGAATTTTTTAGAATGAATTCACTGAAATTCTCGCTTTAATTTATTTGTTGAGGGAAGTTAGAAAGTCTGAAATTTAAGCCTTAAACTAAGAATTTCTAATTAGATAAACTAAATATTCACTAACTTTTAGAAAATTCGAGGAAATATTCTATTCGAAAAAGTTAAATTTGCATATCCACAGAAACCTCGAAATCTCGTAATGCGTGAACTTCAATTTACAGTCAGTCGTGGACAAACAGTTGCTATTGTTGGTCCTTCCGGATCTGGCAAAAGTACAGTAATTTCACTACTCGAGCGATTTTACGATCCTATCGCAGGATACATAGTAAGGATTATTTGAAATTTCGGAGAATTTTTCAGATGTTAAAGCGTTTCGCAGTCGCAGAAAGATAAAAACGAATTCACCGTGGCATTTTCCATAGCCAGATATACAGTTAGAGAATTCCCTTTTATCTTCTAAAGATTATGGCAAACAACTAACATTTTATTAGCGAATAATTAGCAGCCTAATAGAAGCCTAATGAAACCAAAGCAACCAAAGCAACCAAAGAAATGATGAGTATTGTTAAGAGAGAGGAAAGTCTAACCAAATTTAACGTAATTTTTAGCGCCTCGATGGTATTGATCTCCAAAAAATGGATCTGTCGTACTTGCGCACTCAGATGGCGTTGGTTGGGCAGGAGCCTCGTTTGTTTTCAGGAACTGTCCGTCAGAATGTTTGCTTTGGGCTTGATGAAGAAGTCTCCGATGAGAGAATATATGCTGCTTTAGAACTGGCTAATGCAAAAACATTCGTCAGCGCTTTACCGAAGGTATTATTGACGGCGCGAACTCAATTTTAAAAAAATGAAAATTGTGATAAAAGATTTGCCGAGTGGCTAAGATCAGAGGCACAATTCAAAGCTCTCCATATAAGTGAAATTCATGTAGTGCTAATGAATTATTTCTCTTTCAAGTGGCAGGTCTGCACCTTAGAATAATATAGCCAGCTGAACGATAAACGGTAAGCTCTGTCACACTTTTCTAATACATGTAAATTTGCCAGCAGAAGTAACTTTTTAGCAAAATTATCGTATAAAAATAAGGTGACGAATGAACAGTTCAGTTCATAGGGTATCGAAACTGATGTTGGTGAAAAAGGAATGCAGTTGTCAGGGGGTCAAAAGCAGAGACTGGCTATTGCCAGAGCAATGATTCGCAATCCGAAGATCCTACTGCTAGATGAAGCAACCAGTGCTTTAGATTCAGAATCAGAGCGCGTAAGTGTTATCAATTTTGGAAATCAGCCATAACCTTTTTATATATTCTATATCCTTTTTTATTTTAACTTGCGGTGCAAATCGTTATTACCAACGATTCTCCACAACACCTCGCAGAATCGATCTATTCATATTTCTCTAGCAATCATTTTAAAATATTTTCTCATATTCATTTCCATAAACTCACCCACTTACTCCGCCTTATGGCGAAAAAATTATAGTCGATAAGATTGAAGTTATTAAGGCCGTACAAGAGGCGTTGGATCGAGCTCGTGCAGGTCGAACTTGCATTACAATAGCACATCGACTTTCGTCAATACAAAACGCTGATATAATTTTTTACTTAGATAACGGCCGTGTACGCGAAACTGGCAATCATTCAACACTTATGGCTTCTGGCGGTCTATATTATAAATTGATCAAGAAACAAGATTTGTCATCGTAACTTCATATTTTACAAATTAACACAACAATAAATTATTAATTATTGAAACATATTTCAACGGGATTTCTCAGCATAATATCCGACAGCTATCTTGATCGGATTATCATATCCAGCATCGCAGTTCAGCATATATCTCTGCTCCTTCTCCCGAAAGAATAAATCTGTTTTTGTAATACGGAGGACGTTACTCGATGCTTACCTATTGTTTGGAAAATCTGGGTGATTTTTGTCCTCTAGTGACTCTATGGTAAAATTATCTCAACCTATTAACAGTAAGTGAATAAAGCTTAACTAGAAATATGAGACACCTACCTTCCCTTTTTCTGAATTTATTATTATTATTTGAATTAATGAATTTTTGAATTGAATTTTTCTGAATTAATATTTATTACCTACACTTTTCCAGCGACAACAGTAAAATTAACTAAAAATACTAAAAAGCATACAAACATTTTGCATGCATTACAATCATAAATTTTATGCGAAATAAAAAAATGAAATATTTGTTTGGAAATTATTGAAAATATTTTATTCACCTTTCACGAAAAAAAATATAATAATGGAAGGGATGAGCGTAAAATTAAATTAACGAAACTATTGTTTGAAAAAGTTCAGTGACGCATCATGACAATCAGTTGTGCAAACAATTTTATCCAAAAGCATGTAATCTTCATTTGGTAATAATTTCGACGCCACCTGAAATAAATTACTCAAAATAAATTATAAATGAAACTGGCATAAAAGTCACAGAACTCTCTAGATAATGACTATAAACTTGTATCGACCACTTGTCGTCACTTGCTATCCCAATTTTAATGGCAGTTTCAAACCAGCGAGAATCGAATTTGCTTTAATACGAAATTTTTCATCGCGAAATCCATGTTTCTTGCCTTACATCGATCCCACGTGATAGAAAATATTTTTTTGACCAACTCCATCAGAATCCTTATATTTTCATGTAAAATTTTAAAAAAATATTTCACCTATTTATCAACTTTTAGTTAACCCCTTTCCAAATACGATTTACCTCGCCGGAAAACTTGCTGTAGCAAACGTTATGTTTATCCAGTAGTTCCTACATTTTTCCTTCTTGCATTCGCCTTTTCACCAAAACTCTCAGCAATTATCCATTGCATAGTCATATACACTCTCTTTAAACCTTTTAATCCCATGCAGTTTTCCTCACCGTTTTATCAATTTTAACTGAGGTTTGCTTTGCAACATAAAATCCTAGATCGACAAGAAATTCAAAAATTGGATTCAAAAGTTCACCAACCACATCTTGAATATTCCTTAAAACTTCTTGTTCATTTATCTTGGGGACAAAAATCTGGGACAACACTTTCGCGCTAGAAATATCCACTTCTTTACCATTGGAAGTCAGGACCATTTTAGAATGACCATTTATCTCCATAGCAGTATCTCTTTTATTCTTCCTTAGATTTATTCACTTTACGAAACATTATTCGAGAATAATAATAGAAAATTATTTTATTCATTTATTTATTTAAACGACCGTCTAGACAAAAAACACCAGAACGCCAGAAGAGGTTTCAAATGCTTTTTTTAATTCGATTTATTCACTTCATCCCAAAGTTAAAAAAAACCTCAGTTAATTAAACTGGTGGATTTGATGACGTTAAAGACTTACAATGCAAAAAATTTCAATGCAAGACTTCCTGACCTATTTAAAATACCATGACAAATAAATTACCTTGAATAACAAGGAAAAGATAATCTTGACAGCAGGCAACGTGAAAACCAAAAAAATTTATCGATTTAAAAATAACAAACAATCAAACAATAAAAGAATTTTAAACAGGCTTATAATCAAGTTTCGTTTCTAATTTCTTAGCATCACCAACTTTACGTACAGCTTTCATAAAATCTTCTTCAATAACGTATTCACGTTCAGCGCGAATAGCGAACAAACCTGAAATAAAAACCACTGGTCCATTAACAAACTCATTACTCCTTGAAGTACTTTTCTGTGAAATTAAGAAAGCAAATTATTCTTTCCAAGCTGAAAAGTTCTTTGAAAAAAAGAACAAAAAAAGCCTAAAAATTTTTATTCTTAAGAAAATTTTTTGAAATTTTTTTCTTTTCAGTTCCATTAAATTAAATGTTCATAACAAAACAACCTGTATATATAAGTAAATCTTTAAAAAAAGTGGTCTTCGATTATAAATTATTACCTGCTTCTGTGCAAACGTTTCGAAGATCAGCACCGGAAAACCCGTCTGATAACTTAACAACAGCCTCATAATCGATTTCTCCATGTTTAGTAATTTTGTTAGCATGAATTTTAAGGACCTTTAAAATCTCGTAAAAAAATTTAATAAAATGAAATTTAATAAAATTTAAAAAGAAATAACAAATACCAAAATGACAAAAACAAATACAATTTGAAAGCTTTTTAAATTAACAATAATTCAACATAATTCTTACCTCAAGCCGACTTTGTTCATTAGGCAAGCCAATTTCAATCTTACGGTCAAGACGACCTGGACGCAGTAGAGCAGGGTCCAAAGTGTCTGGCCTGTTTGTTGCCATGATTATTTTCACTTGACCTAGAGAATCAAATCCATCCATTTGGTTAAGCAATTCCATAAGCGTGCGTTGAATTTCACGATCCGCCGAAGTACCCTCCGAAAATCGACGACCTCCTGAAATTAACCTTTCTTTTAAATTACTGGCTGACAAAAACAAATTAAGCGTTTTTCTGCGAAAAAAAGTGAAGGTAAAATGATCCTGAGGACAACCTATGGCATCAATTTCATCCATAAAAACAATGCATGGTTGATGGTCTCTGGCATAATTGAACATTTCACGTATCATCCGAGCTGATTCACCTATGTATTTATCAACAATAGCCGACGATACAACCTTGAGAAAATTGCAGTCAAGTTGAGAAGCCACCGCTCTACAATAAATCTTTTGTTTTGGATTATGTGATAAACATTTAATTAAAATAAGGGGTCACCATTGTTGTGATAGTTAATTAGTATGATTGGAAATATTTACTACTGAGCCGCTTGGCGGCAGGAGTAGAGATGATCACCCATATTTCTGAATGAAAACTTTACTCAATAAAGGAATAAGCTTCTGCCTCTTAACAAAATTCTGCAACCTGGTCTCCCACAATAGGCAATAAATAATTAAAAACATTTAAGACGAAAAAACTAGTCGATCAAATAAAAAAGGAAAAACTATTTTACCTAGCAAGTAGAGTTTTTCCAGTACCGGGAGGACCATATAATAAGCATCCTTTAGGAGGAGTTATCCCAACTCGACGAAAGAGATCAGGATTTATCAAAGGCAATTCTACAACCTAAAAATCAAAAAAAATTTCCTTTTCTTTCGTTTCTCCACAAGTATAAAAAACGATCTTTTTCAAAAAAACCGTATCTCTCGAAGTTCACGAATTTGCTCGTTCAGTCCCCCTACTTCTGAATATGAAATGCTTCCTGGATCTTCGCGACTCATTTTATAAACTAGAGGATCGACTTCACGAGGCAATTGCCGCATTATTGTTAATGTGGTCATATCAAGCGCTACTCGAGTTCCCTTAAAATAATTAAACATGACAAATCCATATTTTTCGCCCACAACGACTCCTCCATGAAAATTTGAGAAATCGAAAAAAACCGCATAAAATTAAAGGGGATTTGACCTGTTTGAGAGCTTCTTTATTGATGGACCGTCTACACCCAACAACATAGCGCGGTCCATTCGTTGCTTTTACGATGAATTTTTCATCAGTCAATTGTTTTAAGACTTCACCAACGATCTGTCCAACGGATTGCAAGGATTTTATATCGTTTTCGGACTTATCATGTTCTTTTTGCATTTCTTGTTCCTCAAATAATTAAAAAATGAATGAATCCACTGAATTCAACGATATAACGCAGTTCTAGGCATTTCTAAAAAAAAAAACCAATAATGAAGTTACAACTCAAACCAACTTTTTTCCTCAATTCCTTTAATCGCTGTTCGACTTCACGATATTCCACTAACTTTCGCCTATATGCCGCTAAAGCTCGAGTCTTTTCATCATCGACATGGGACACTGCCACAGTTTGTTCAACCATAAGCGTAGAATCAGTGATTTTCCTGAAATATTTTAATAATTAAATTTAAGCATATCTGACATTTTTATATTTCATTCTTTTCTTAAATTATGAATATTTTTTTGCTATTCAGAACAACTCCGATAAAAAATTGCAGCCAATCTCTAATGAGCAAAATTATTAAAAAACACTAACAAAAATTAAAAATACCGTAGTAAATAAAAGACTATAGAAAACCCAACGTAGCACGACCATTTTCGACTCATATAAATTTGCAATTAATAAACAAAAATAAACAAAATGCTGATAGATAAAAATATGTGAATAGTTAACGCAAATAGCAAAAATAACTCGTAACTCATAATATTTAATTTTAAAATTAATATAAACAAGCAAAAATTATAGTAATACACAAGAGAGCAAATACATTTAAACTAAAGGAAATTATTGAATTTTTATACGCCTATAATCAATCATATCAATAAGTGAAAGGACGCTTTTAAATTTTATCGTCTGTGGATCAGCGTATCGCCCTTGCGCAGCCTAAAAAATAGAAATATTTTTTCATCCACATAGAAGGAAAAATAAATATCAAGATAAACTTATATATCTTTTTGAAAGAAAACTGTTTAGCTCATAAAATCTGAAAAAAGATTGAGCTGAATAAACGAATAAATAAATAAATATCTCTATCTCTGCGATCTCTGAAAAGTAAATTCAGATGGGCTTTTGAAAACACGAGTTCAAAAAAAACACCTTTCTAAAACGTTTAAAATTGGTCATAGAAAATATTGTAGCTGTAGTATTTTGACCCAAAATTGCACCATTATTATCTCGATTTTTCACAAGGTTTTTGAATGCAACAGCTTTAATCTAAAAAAATTAAATCTAAAAATTTCAAATGTAAGAAAATATAATATAACATTAACACTTTGCAAAATATAATTATAATTATATAAGTGAAAACAAGTAAAAGCTTCATGGACAAGATTTAAAAAACATTTACCAATTTTCTTCTTACAGTTTCCTTATCCATGCCGAATATCAAACAGTCGTTTATATCATCTGCAATAATTTCCTCCGCTATTTCCATTTTATCTTCCCTACCTTCCTCTTTCTTTGGATTATTCTTAGAAGTTGCATCCTCTTTATCCGAGTTCTGTGGAAAAAAATGTTTAAATGGCTGCTAACCAATCGATGCATTTCAGCACGAATTAAAGAAAAAATAAACCACTAACGGCATTGCCCCGTGTAATTTTGTATTCATCATCGCTAATTTTTGCTAACTTCTGTAATTTTGCTTCCTTTGGTTCAATTTCGCTTACGTCAGTATTTTGAGAGCTTGAAAATGCTAAATATTGCTAAATACAGATAATTTGATAAAATCAACTTAAATGAAAAAATAAATGATCGAACTAGTAAATGATCTAAAATTATTTTTATACATAGAAAATTTAATTTAATTCATTTATTTTTTATCGAATTTTTTTGTCAACATGCAATATCCAATGAGTATTTCTTATTTTGTCTCTCAGTTATACTTCAAGGTTTCATAATAATATTATTAGTGCTTACACCGTTTTATTTTTTTCATTTGCAGCCATGACTCAAGTTGTTGTTGATATTGCGATGGAACTTTTTCCAGCTGAACACCATATATAAACATCAAAACCAAAAAAAAAAGACGCAAATGGTTTCATGCAAAATAAATCAAAAAATACAAGGAAATGGAACTTTTCGAAAATCTTACCTGACTACTTTCTTTAAATCGGTAAGATCTCTTTGATTTTGGTTCATTAATACTCAACGTATTATTCGCTCTTCGTTTACAGCTGGTGACGAATTGAAGAGAATTTTCTCCATTTGTTTTTCTTCCACTATCACCGCATCTACAATAATTTTTTTTTCTAAAAGTATAAATCACTTTAGGTCAAACATATTCCGCTGGCTTATTAGACCAGAGGGAATATACCAGAAAGATATTTAACGATGGAATCACAAGTGAGCCAGAGAACTTTCCAAAAAGATTTATTCTCGCTGAAAGTACAACCCACCATCGAAATAACTTTTCTGAGCAGAAGAGTGAAGAGTAGTATCTTGGGTAAAATATATAGATATTATAAAAAGCTAAAAAAAACATTTGCTTGTTAAATTTTATTATAAAATTGAAAGAATGACCTAAAACGGACATGATAAAAATATTTTAATGCACCAATGGCTGGTTCAATGGGAAGTAACTGCAATTCTCAGTGAGTTCCCATGCAGTAATGCAGTATATTAGCTATTTGCAGCCGCACGCGATCTACAAGCAGCAAGTAAGACATCCTTCCTTAATGCATCCTTCCTTAATGCATAATACCAATATAAACCCTTTTCTCTTTCCCTCAGGGTCATCCTGAATTTCGGCCTATTCCAGAAATCTAACATCCACAGTATCTGCAGTACCTTAGCAGCAAGCTCTTCTGGATAGAAATCTCCAATGTTGCCTCTTGAATCCGCTGATTCTACTTTTTTAGGAGTTCCAAGTATTCCAATTACCACTGGAACTTTGGTCTTTGCTTTCCATATTTTCTCTAATTCCTCTTTCAGCCCTTGGTATTACTCTATCTTCTCATATTTCTCACTTCTTAATATTCCTGCCGCTTGGTATTGCTATATCTATCACCAGTCTGATTCTTGTCTATTACCACCATATCTGATTGACTGGTCAGTATTTTCTCTCTGTGGATGGAGAAATCCCACAGAATCCTCAGCCCTATTAGTCTTGATTTTCTGAGAAACCTCCTGTCCTTGAATCTAGGTCATATTCTGAGCAGATATTCCTACAGACAATACTATCTAATTGTTATGCGATTCCTGTCGTATATTATTACATTTTACCTCTACGTGTTAGACAGTTCCTGAGAATCCTGTCTGATATAGTGGACCCCTATTTCAATCGATCTATTTCGATTGTGGCTAGCGCCTGTCCTTATGCTGCTATGATCTATAACGAGCCTCAGTATTATTCTTTATTCCAGCTTTTTTAAATCACTTACAGAATATCTCAATAAAAGCCTCTGCAGTTATCTGTCAGTGGTACATCCCACGAAGTCCTGAACGACGTTTCGGTTTCATTTAAGATAGGATTCTCAATGATTTTGATCATTACCCCAATAACTAACCCCATTTTCTTTACAGCTGATTCGCACAAGGTACACTGTCTCTTCCATTGTTCTGCACACCTCTACGTTCCCCGTCAGATAATCCAGAAGTGGATATGAATATAAATTAAAGTGCAGGACTGCCATCAGCCATCTTTTCTACATGGATGACATCGAAAAGTGAAAAAAACATCGACTCGTCCATTCATCTAACTCGGATATACCACTGACAGGGAGGACATGCGGCCGGATCGTAATAAAAAGAGGAAAAGTGGTAATGGCTGAAGGGGTGGATCGGACCTACTTCTAGGACATATAGTCGGACATAAAGACATATACATACATGCTAGTTACAAGTACTTTGATACCCCACAGTCGCACAGCAACTACAATGAGAAGGCAAGGAAGAAAATGTCTATGTACTACCAAAGAACAAATCTTGAAGAGCCAGCTCAATGGAAAGAATAAAATTCGTGCCATAAATATGTACTCTGCCAGCCATCAGATATGCAGATGGACGAACATAGAGGCTGCTGGACCAGGAAACTCTCCAAAATATATTTCATACGGAAATTTCTAAGAGGCTGCTGGACCAGGAAACTCTCCAAAATATATTTCATCCGGAAATTTCCAAGAGGCTGCTGGACCAGGAAACTCTCCAAAATATATTTCATTCGGAAATTTCCACCACATCCAATGTTTAAAAACTGTACACCAGTTAGAAAGAAGACGGGTGAGGTTTGGTAAGTGTGAAAGCCACCATTTTGAACGAAACTGGAAGCAAACAGGAATATCTCAGCGCCAAAAAATGAACTGCTGAGAAAATACCTGTTGTATGTATAAACAATGGAAAAAATCAAGCAGAGGAAACACCATGGAAAGGCAATACTCTCAATGGATTGCACCATCAACAAATAACTAAGACAGATGACACTCCGAAATCACACTACCAGCTGCCGGAAAAATCTAGACTAAAAGGCAATGATGCAAGTAGGAACAATACTGAAAGGCATAATCAAGTAGCTGGCATCATCAACATGAACTCAATATATGGCTAAGACCCTTCAGAAAACCATGGAGAATAATAAGGCGAAAATCCTGGGATGACTCCATCCAGAAAAAAGAACAAGTACTAGCCGATCAACCAGATATCGTGGTAGTACACAAGAACCAGAAACCAGAACTGATAATAATTATAGTAAGCAAAAGGAACGTTAGGAAAAAGCACATGAGAAGTCACGAGTTGAAAGAAAAATTGGAACTATGATCCGAAACTAAAGTGGCCTTGGCAGATTCCAGAAATAACATCGGAGATCTCTATCGGAAGAGCGCATTACAAAGAACAGCTGAGATATTGTGGAGGACTCGAGATTGAAAATGACCTTATCAGCCACAAAAGGTGGAAAAGGAATTTTTATAAAATTATGTTAAAATTATGCATTTGATGCAATTATGCAAAATTATGCAAAATATATAAAAATATAAAAATAACGAAAAAAATGTAATATAATATAATATAATTTTTGATATTCAATATATACAAAATCTGAGATAGAAAGTACTAAATTTAAGCTATTTACGCATTTAACTTGAACTTAAAAACGGACTTTACAACGAATCTATCATCAGCTTGGTTATGAACCGTATCATCCTTAACTACGCATGACTCAGAAACAACACCTGCTGAAAAAAAAATTCCATTAACGAGAGTTGCTGAAAAAAATGGGTGAAAAAAAGATAAAAAAGAAAATATGCAGAAGAATATGCAGAAATATGCAGAATTTCCTATATTTCTAGTTGCATTTCAAAATCGTAAATGGAAATTCTACAGGAAAAATTTTCTACTCCTTTAGGAATAAAAGAAGACCGCAAAATAAGCAATTGTAAAATAATGGTATTTACAAGATCGATACTTGGATAATTTGATGAAATCCACTTTGTATGGTCGATATTGTCTGATACTTTTCGATAATACTGGGACTTTAAAGATTGTCGAAGTGTATCGAATGCAAATATTGTTGAACTCGATTGATCTCTAAAGTAAATATAGAAATTAGAAGTAAAATAATACCAAAACTCTACAAGTGGAATAAGAAGTAAAAAACTAACATTATATCATCATCTTCATCATCTGATGATAGTAAAAACAATTTCGCTTTTTCGTTTTTATTTGAAACACTCCTTAAAATGAATAATGAGAAAAAAATTTCTCATGGAAAGAGAGGTAAAAATATGAATTTATAAAAACAATCAGATATTAGTATTAATAATCTATAACCTAATATTGAATTTTTTCTTCTCGAATATATTTTGCACAGAATATGAATTTGAAGGTGCTTCAGCTACATCATCCTCAAATACTTCATCTGCATTTGATGTTGAAGGTCGAAGTTCATTTATAATTAAATAATTTCTACCAAACTGTAAAATCAACATGTAAATTATGATATCATAGAATAATAAAGAATGAAGCAATTAAACTGAGTTTCCGACTATAAATATTTATTACAAACATTTGCCAAAACAAATTGGAAAAATAAGAACAGCTTAACCGTACTTGCAATATATCACCCACTTTCAAATTTCGCTGTTTCACAATTTTGAAAGGACCACCGTTATATCCAGTGCCAAAACTACTCAAATCCTCAGCCGACAACTAAAAATTGCAATATATCATTCAACAAAATGTTGAAAATTACAAAGGTATATGTCACAGAATACCGATGAATAATGAACAATACATATATAACCAATAAATGGATAAAACAAAAAATCCAAAGATCCGGAACACTCCAATTTCATTTGATGAGTAATGAACGCTATCAGTGATCAGGAAAGTAAAATTTCAAGAAAAGCATAATAATATCATTAAATACTAGAGAGGTTAGAAATAAATATTTGAACCAATAGAAAATAAGTTATGCATTCTTCGAACACCTCACACCATCACTGGTTAGGCTGGTTCCACTAGGTACAAAGGTTTCCAACCTATTCCGTCCGACATCATTGCTGACATTAATAGAAGCTATTCCTTTTTCCATCGTCTAAGTTCAAATATCCACCTACATGCTCAAATTTTTTTCTGATTGTACCTTAATTGGCCCTTCCAGCTTTGACACCATCTGTCAATGTTTAGGAAGTAAGTCAATTCCTGTGGTGGATGACAAGGAATGCCCTAACCAGCGAAACTCTATTCCAATAGATCCCAGAAAAAACAACAGAGATCTCTGACCAGAAGAGCATATTGCTAAGAATAGTTAAACCTGCATAAAAGCCTCAAGTTCCTAGGCCTAGAGGATTGGAACCTGAACCATAGAACGGTTCGATTAGGAGATAATAGGAAATTATTCCGCTTTCTTCATAAAGCAACTATAACTCAGAAACGATTAGTGAAATGGTAAGGGACAACAATGGTGTGCCGATCAAGAATATTAAGAATCGCCTCATTCTTCTTCTAACAGCTCTCATCATTACTGGTTAGGCTGGCTCCAACGGCTACAAGAGTAAGATGCTTTCAACCGGCGCGATCTGATGCCATCGTCGACAGTAATAGAAGTCATTTTTTTTTCCATAGTCTAAGTCCATATACTGCTGGTCCACCTATACGTTCAAAATCTTTCCTGACCGTATCAGTCCAGGTCTTGAATGGCCCACCTCGCTTTTGACGCGATCCATCACAAGGTTTAGCAAGTAACGAAATATGGGACAACTCTTGTGGTCGACGATGCAGAACATGCCCTTATCACCAAAGGCGACACTCTGCGATAATATTATTAATATAATATGGTGTATGAAAGAAGGTGGATGCGATCACGTGATATTCTATCCGTTCAACGGACGTAAAATGTACTTTAGATAAAAGTGGTCAAAGGTAGATAGCTTCTTAATATCCTCCACTCTCATTGGCCATGTATCAGAGCCATACATATAGCAAAATCGAACGAATCACGGCTATATAGATGGAAACTTTCGTTTTAATGGTAATTTCACGACGGCTCCATAAAGGTTTCGTCAACTAGAAGAACGCATTTCTAGCTGTCGTGATGCGGGCTACAATATCATCTTTTGCCTGGCTATCATATGGTACCCAAGGTATTCAAAAGACCGCCTTATAAGATTGAAAAAATTTTTTTAGGCCAAACTTAACCATGAAACGCCACTGCCTCTGATAAAGACTAATACATTCGTCGAATTATACGCTTGCGATTGCGAGCTGCCAATGAAGAAACAATTATCCGTAAGCTCAAAGTCAATAAGACTCCGGGAGATGATCTTTGGGCTGAAATCTTCAAATGTTGTACATCATCCTTCATAAAATACCTTCAACAAATGTACTCTCTGGTGTAGGAAAAAGAAATCTTACAGGATAATTGGAACAAAGCAATTCTACTCCCAATTTTCAAGAAAGATGATAGGACATACTGCAACAATTATCGAGGAATCAGCCTACTAGACGTCT